TCTGAAGGGCATACAGCATATGACATAACTTCACATCAAGTATACACAACAGGAAAGAGACCTGAAAGGATGTCAGAGCCAGTAAATATATTTATGAATGAGACACAGAGAAAGAAAGAAATGCTTTAAGTGATATTGTAATCCATCAAAGTAAACTGTTGTGTAAAAGTACCCTGAGGTGCCAATCTTTCCCGTGTTTAAACGTGGTTCGTTTCAAGCGCTTTTACTTCTCCTGCCCATCTTTTTTTACAGGCACCCTAGTGGTCTTCAGCAGCCATCAAAACTCCTGTATTTAGAGTGTGCAAGTGTGTTCCTCACCGAGTCAGGTATGCCATTATTCTAAGTGGCAGCTCTTGAAATGTGTGCACAAACCTTTACATGCATGACACACAGAGGCTACAAGCCTCATAGGTCAAGCAGGTCACTGAACAGTAAACCACCCAGACCCAATAAGCAGCAGTCTCATTAAGGCTGCCCTATCTCCAGCCCCATCCCCCTTCCCAGTCCCTTCCTTCTACCTAAACACTGGAAAAACAACAAGCATTGTAACTTGTCAAAGGGCACTACAGAAGGTTTTTTATAAAAACGAGGTGAGCAGGAAATTCCTCAGAAAACATATCTTCAAAAATACAGAATATGAAACTGAGAAAAAAACAGAATACCTGTCTGTGCGATGTGTTCTGTCAGCATCCTGTCAGCAGCACACAGCCAATTAGGACTGCAGCCAAATCGCTGGGTGAGCGTTCCGTTTCTCACTCCACTAATTCAGGGTCCAGCACAAACACACCATGATATGCACATACCCAAGTCTGTCATACACTGAAGTGCACATTCAAGCAAAACATATTTGTGCGCCTGCATTTACACACACATTTATGTGCACATACTTTTACAGTGAACAAACAATCTGCATTCTAAAAGAATGGAAGCCTGTAGTAACCACATTTTGTGGTAGGAGAATTACCCTGATGACCAGGTCACTGTAGCCCCTGTCACTGATGCCAGTTGGCTATTTGACTACATTTCCATACTGAGCCTGAGTTGAGCATGTGAGACTGAGCCTGCCAGACGTGGATAAGGTGTGTGTGGTTGTCTGAGGAGATGATATCAGCTAAAATCATAGCAAGAGTCCTGCTGCTGGTTACAGAGCCCATCCAGACAGAGGAGGACACAACATACATTAGACAAAACACATAAACACTGCCCCGTCTCCTTCTGCCATACTACAGTTGTTCCCAGGGCTACTTTGCATATCAGAGCTGACATAACGAGGAGACACTGTATGGTGTCCGAGAACTGTGAGTGTGGAGGTGGAAGATGATACTGCCACCTCATCTGGTCAGCTAAATAAAGCTGTCACATACAAACCCACCAGCCTCAGTTTCATGCTATTAAGCCAAAAAGGTACAACTCTGGAAATTTATCACAGCTCTGTTAGAAGATAAGAGACTGGGGCATGATTAATTTTTCAGTTTAAGGCAAAGGTAAATGTTCTAGCACCACAGAACAGGCCAGACACAAGCATCGCTGTCCAACTAAGGCTAAGGATAACCAAATATTTCCCAATTTATTTCTCCGTTTTATCATAACACATTTCACCGTTCAGCTGATTGCACTGAATGTTAATGAGGGCTGTCCCTCTGACAGCTTGGCCTCTTGTTGGCATGGATCTCTGCATTTAAAATTTGCACGTAGGCAAGTAGCACTCACCAGGTGCCATCCAGGCTATTTGAGGAACGCGCGGGTAAAGTATAGTACTCCATGTGACAAGGCTGTACCAGCTGTTAACTGAGCAGTAATTTAGCAAAGTTAAAAGCTACACCTCATCTGTAGAAAGTAGTGGAAACCTAGCAAGAGGAAGCCTGGTTTAAAGCTGTATTCACACATTTGCGCTGCGGTAAAACAACCCAAGGCGCCGTGTTTCCTGGGTGTGTTGTTCCATGTATTAGTCAGATAAATACGTACAGTCTGAGAAGCCCAGTTGGAGCAAGAAATATATGCATTTATGAGCTTATTAAATGCCAAAACACAGCACAGTGGATTTTACAGCTATCATAGCAGCAACTGTTTTACCTTTGATTATGATAATCTTGACATAAGCAGCAGTAATTCCTGTATGTAACTGGCCAACGTAGCACCTTGTGAGATGCCATGTTGCTTTACCTCAAAAGCTGAACCAGATCCAACCATTTTTCCATAAAATTCTGTTGTTTTGAATGACCTACCCTCAAAATCCCCCCCTCCCCCCCCTTTAGTGCAATTCCACCATCTGTCTGAACACACCCCAAGACCTTGGTAAAGTCTACTATACGGCAAGGACAGAGAGCTGCCTGACAGCAGCTCACATCAAGAACAAAGCCTGAGAAAAGGCAAGGCCTCAACAGCAGTGCTAATACGCAGATGTTCTCAACAGATGAGCAAGGCTTACATTTCACTCCTTCTTGAAGGCTGGTCATTTTCTATATTAACAGTATTTTCAACACTCCCCATAGAGAGATTAAAACCAACAATGAATTGCCTCTACTCACAGTTAATTTCTGTCAGTCCTGGACCAGCTTATTCATCTGTACCACAAACCTCCGCTGTTGTTCAAAAACAATTAAAACCACATCAGAGAAACACACCACTGCACTGGGTGACATATTTCCTCATTACAAAACAACAGAGCCTAATATTTGTTATGAATATTCAGAGATCTTATATATGGACATTTGACTCTTGCTCGGTTCAGATGCTGTAAAACGTTAGGGCCGTTCAGAGCCTTTTAGGCAACATTTTAAAAAACCTGGGATCTTGTGTTTCATATTGAGGAAACAAGCTGCACTTGTCTCACACTTGTTTGTGTATGTTTAGTGTCCCCAACCTGGCAACCTGTGTAAGCTTCGAATCTGGGGAGGAGTGCACGGGGGGTCAACTCACTCCAATATTTTAGATTTGGACTACAGTAACCAAAACACTTGGTGTCAATACTAAATATTGTTCCTTTAAGCGTATACAAAGAGCCAAGGAGGTCCTTCCAAAAATATGTTTGCACAGCCAGCGGATGAGCTTTAGGGAGTTTACCAACAACATCTACTTAGTAGCTAGTTCCGTTTACCATGCTTTTGGAAATTCTTTTTGTGTCTGTAGCTATTGTCAGACAAATACATGTTCACATCACAGAAAAATATTCATTATCCATCATATCGCAATAACTTGATTAGCAAAGCTATACCACTCTGCTATACTGTTCAGCTATTTGCAGTCCCCACCTGCAATACCTGTACCTTCATCTAGATGGTAACAACTCATACTGACTGTACAGAGGATGTGATACGTCCCTAAGGATTGCCCAGCTCTTCTTAACCACTCAGGACTCAAAAAGCATCGTCATACTATGATTCTGTCTTCCTGCAGTCTTACTAAACATATTAATGATCTTATTAAGCATGTTCTTATTAATTGCAGTGAAAGGACCCCAGGGTGCAGCCCCCTTAGTCATATTTTAGTAGAGGATATTTAAAGATAAACTACCCAACATAACAAGAGGGTAGCGATGCATACAACTTAATAGCAGACAGCACAGAAGGAAGGTAGAACAGAATAAAGTGGATAGCTCTCTGGCTCAACTCCCTCTCCTCACTACATCTGAAACCCCAGCCATTTACATTATGTAGAGAAATGGCACCTCCATCACTGTTGGAGTCAATTCTATATGCATCCTGGTTGAGAGGAAGTTTAGCACTGTGCCAGTCATGCTATTCACCTGTGACAACACTGGTCAGTATTGGGGGTTTCAGCCTGCATTAGCTGTTGCTCGGTTCAGAAGGTTGACAGGTAGTTTTTGTCTGACTCTCTGGCAGCTAAACAATCAGATAAGGGAGGCAATTGTTGAGCTACACTTTTGGCCCTGGGCTATGAGCAAAACTAACTCAGTTACAGCTGTCACTGCTCAGCCACGCTACATGCTTTGAACCGACCCCACAGTGGCCATCTTCCTGGCTCTGGCAGCCTTTTGGTTATCAAAAAGCACGTTTAGGATAGAGCTCGGAAAGTTATGATACTCCAACAGTACTCTGGGATACAGCAGTAGCTACAGCTTTCATCCTTGTTACTGCAAAGGATGTAAGAGACAGTTTCTGAACAGGCTCTGCTGCTGAAACCAAAACCTTGCGTGTGGTTTGAAACATACCAAAACATCATGTTGTTAACTGCTGTCGCTGAGTTGATCGCGACGAAAATATTGTTAGATGCTTTTCCATCTTCTTGTCATTAGCCCTTTGTGTAGAAGGCAGTGTTCAAACATCAGGACATATTTCAGAGGTCACAGGTTGAAGATGCCAGGACACAGTAGCAAAGCATCAGCGAGTGGACAGACATATACAGTTTATTCACATGGAATCTAAGAAGCAAAAGATAGGGCTTTGCAAAAGACCAGTGAAACCAGAACAAGGACTGGGGCTCCATGAACTCCTGTGAAGAACTGCTACACACAGCTCTATGTCCTCACTGCAAATGGAGCTCCATTATGTAAGGACACCTCACTGAAAAGTGGATTTGGCAGTCGGCACCAGATGCTAGCAGAAGAATTCTAAGGACTGGCACCAGTATTAAAATGATTAAATGTGTCTCTGGTTTGTGCACAGGTTGATATGGTAACAGACAGCATGTGAAGATTTTCACAGCTAGCAATGCCAAATAAGACAGACTTTTTGGTAATCTCAAGTTGTTAGAGATGTTTTTCTCCTGCCAATTCTCAATCACAAGCACCATCCTGAGCTGACTAATGTGCCCATTTCCTAAAACATCACAAATACCGCACTTTAAGATGTACAATTAAGTGAACTAATTGTTGTATTCAACTTGAATTTGACATTTTCCTTTGGGAAGAAAGTTTCTTTATTTTTCTTGTTTCCCAACAATGAATCACTTAATATCTTTACTTGAAAAATGGAACAACTGTGCAGAAATTAGAGAACTTCGGGTGAAGGGTAACAAGCATATGAAAAACATGGCTAACTATTATTTAAGATATTTTTAAGGCATTTTATTAGGTCTAGATGTTTTTCCATTGCTTTGCCCCACTAGCAACCTTTGGGAAAGACCATCTAACATTTCCAGAGCTTTATTTTTTTTGTCTAATATATTAAAAAGGTCTATAAAATTATACTTGCAGTAAACAATCAGTCACCTCTAAACAACTTTCACAACTGCAGTAGAAATCAGTTTGCTACTAAAGCCTGCCTTTGAAGAAGTCCCAACTTGATGTAAGAAGAATCGAGGGAATACAAGAGGAAGAAATGGTTATTCACTAAATGCTAATGGTGAATTTAAGGCCACTGCCACTGACACGCCCAGAGAGATGATACCAAGCTCCTCTACAGCACAGGTTGCAGTATGCAGCACTGAACATTTGAATCCAACTTGCTCTCAGTTTGTCTCTCTCCTCATCTACCCTCATGCAGCTTGCCTTAGACGTTAACTTATAGATGTATGCATCAAATACCTTCTTAGACCATTTACCTCACAAACCTTCGTGGCTATACATAAAGCCTGGCAGAAAGTCCAAGCATGCATGCACAAAGACATCCACATACAAAGCCTTGTCATCCTAAAACCACACACACACTCGCACGCACATCACACAGCGAAGGCATGGATATAAGTAATTTAGCACACTGTGACACTTTCACGGTTTAATGAGCCCCAGTGTTGCAGTAAACATGGCCCAATAACCCTCCGGTTCTTCTTACTCATTAAGTATAGATAAGGACTGAAGATGGCCAGCCACTCTCATCCATCAAGGCCCAACTTGTCAGAGTTGGAGCTTTCCAGAACCGTCCAGAACCTCATGACAAGCACCCAACTCAACCAGCATGTTCACAGAGAGAAAGAGAAAACCGACAAGGAATGGCTTTCATTTTGCCGTCATGTCCATATTCATACATGCATGTGTACGTTCACAGGAATGTGCGAAGCAAATTCAAGGGAGGCTCTAGACAGATGTTCCATGGTGTTTACACAGACAGGAGGCTAGTTGCTTGCTTGCTGCTGTTGCCTTTGACGCGGTGATGGGGATTTTCCTCTCTCTCTGTTGCAGTAGCAGAGGTGGCCAGCGAGTTGTGATCAAACTATGCCCCCCATATATCTCGCTCTCTCTCTCTCCCATCAGCTGGAGAGCAGCAGGGTGTCCCAGATTCACAGACCAACTCCATCCTCCCCATCTACCTCCCATCTAGAGCAGAGGCTGCTAGCTCTCCACTGTGGCGCACTGCTGCCACCTGGCGGACACAGAGGTGACACTGCAATGTGTACGTGCAAGAAGGTGCTATTTGGTAGTTTGAAATGAAGAATTTTGAAATACATTCCCCTTCATAAATGGCATGCTGTTGGCCTCGTGTAACTGCATGGTTGTCAAAATAAATTAGCTCCATCTAGGGGGGAATTTGAATTAACTTGTCTTTCAATCAATTCCTTTGAACTTCTGGTGACACTGTCACATCAGATTAATATTCCCAACACATCAATCAAAACTTGCAGTGGTTCTGCATGATGTGTCAGTGGGGGGAGAAGAAAAGAGGGGGGGGGGGGGGGGGGCAAGAAAACGGTACATCTGTATAGCTCTTGAATCGATACCAGGATGTAGTGTTAATCTAGTGAGTAGCCTTCTGGCAAAAATATGTGACTGAGAGGCTGAACAGCACAGCAGACCAAAAAGCAATTATTGAATAAGACTAGCTCAGCATTGCTCTCCTAAATACGGCCCTTCTTTTTTTGTCACAGAGGAGGTGACTTTGGGTTGAGCACTGTCAGAAGGAGAAAGTCACAGTTTTATGTACATGCTAAAATTTAATCTTCACTTGTAGGCCAGATCCAATAGGACATTTAAGTTGTATGCGAAGCTTTAATATTTTTAATCAAAAGCTTTTAAGTCTAAGAAAATTTAATTAGTTTGACTCAAGCTGACAGACAGCCTTTTTACAAGTACAACAGAAACACAATTCCACAATGAGGACTTTGCTCTGGTATGAACTGTTTATGTGCAGGTTTGACTCTTCAGATGATAAAAACAAAATCTTTAATCAGCTGTACATGCATTGATACAATGTCATTATTTTCTTTTTACCTTTAGTATGAAAAAGGAACAATGAAGCATAAAAAAAAAAGATAAAAACAAAGCTAATACAAAAAACCAAAGTTCTACTCAGTTGATGCCACATTAGGCTTCACAAATGTTTTCTTTATGATATCGTGGTGCAAGCACTGCTTTTTTCAGTACTGTTGGCAGGTGTGTAGGTAATGCTGAAAATAGTCATGACAACACTCCCCTTCAAATGTAGTTTACACTGGACGAGACTAGTTTGAGTAACAGATCAGTGAGTTTAAAGTGTTATCAGGCATCAGAACTCTGCCCAGATGTTATGAGGAATAAATTTATAATTCTTTAAATTTATCACAGCCAATATTTTATCCTACTTATCGATGATTGCCAGGTAAATGGGAGAACTCCCCTGTGTGAAAGTAATTTATTAGGATCATATGCTTGTATGTAGTTGATTGGCCCACAAGCAGCATTGTCAGGTCCTATTTTTTTTTTTTTTTTTTTTTTTTCCACAGATGTAACATTTACACTGCAGGACAACTGATCCAGCTGCCAGGGAAGATGTAAAAATAGACTGATTAAGGACAAAAAGGCTGAAAAAATGGCACTATGAATTACATCTTTGAGGCTGTTAATAGGCCTCCACCATCACAGAAAAAAATACAGTCCAAACCTGTAGAGTCCAGCTTTCTTGATTCCCGCCTTTAAGGAAAATTCGAGTACATTTCAATTTGGTACATCTCCCATAAATGTAGACAGTGTCACTCAGTGGGTTGTGCTGACTTTGCACTCACTACCTAAATTTATTGGATATTTCAAACTTTTTTAACAAATAAAAAACTGAATAATTGGGCGTGCAAAATTATTCAGCCCCTTTACTTTCAGTGCAGCAAACTCTCTCCAGAAGTTCAGTGAGGATCTCTGAATGATCCAATGTTGACCTAAATGACTAATGATGATAAATAGAATCCACCTGTGTGTAATCAAGTCTCCGTATAAATGCACCTGCACTGTGATAGTCTCAGAGGTCTGTTTAAAGCGCAGAGAGCATCATGAAGAACAAGGAACACACCAGGCAGGTCCGAGATACTGTTGTGGAGAAGTTTAAAGCCGGATTTGGATACAAAAAGATTTCCCAAGCTTTAAACATCCCAAGGAGCACTGTGCAAGCGATAATATTGAAATGGAAGGAGTATCAGACCACTGCAAATCTACCAAGACCTGGCCGTCCCTCTAAACTTTCAGCTCATACAAGGAGAAGACTGATCAGAGATGCAGCCAAGAGGCCCATGATCACTCTGGATGAACTGCAGAGATCTACAGCTGAGGTGGGAGACTCTGTCCATAGGACAACAATCAGTCGTATACTGCACAAATCTGGCCTTTATGGAAGAGTGGCAAGAAGAAAGCCATTTCTTAAAGATATCCATAAAAAGTGTCGTTTAAAGTTTGCCACAAGCCACCTGGGAGACACACCAAACATGTGGAAGAAGGTGCTCTGGTCAGATGAAACCAAAATCGAACTTTTTGGCAACAATGCAAAACGTTGTGTTTGGCGTAAAAGCAACACAGCTCATCACCCTGAACACACCATCCCCATTGTCAAACATGGTGGTGGCAGCATCCTGGTTTGGGCCTGCTTTTCTTCAGCAGGGACAGGGAAGATGGTTAAAATTGATGGGAAGATGGATGGAGCCAAATACAGGACCATTCTGGAAGGAAACCTGATGGAGTCTGCAAAAGACCTGAGACTGGGATGGAGATTTGTCTTCCAACAAGACAATGATCCAAAACATAAAGCAAAATCTACAATGGAATGGTTCCCAAATAAACATATCCAGGTGTTAGAATGGCCAAGTCAAAGTCCAGACCTGAATCCACTCGAGAATCTGTGGAAAGAACTGAAAACTGCTGTTCACAAATGCTCTCCATCCAACCTCACTGAGCTCGAGCTGTTTTGCAAGGAGGCATGGGCAAAAATTTCAGTCTCTCGATGTGCAAAACTGATAGAGACATACCCCAAGTGACTTACAGCTGTAATCGCAGCAAAAGGTGGCGCTACCAAGTATTAACTTAAGGGGGCTGAATAATTTTGCATGCCCAATTTTTCAGTTTTTTATTTGTTAAAAAAGTTTGAAATATCCAATAAATTTCGTTCCACTTCATGATTGTGTCCCACTTGTTGTTGATTCTTCACAAAAAATTACAGTTTTATATCTTTATGTTTGAAGCCTGAAATGTGGCAAAAGGTCGCAAAGTTCAAGGGGGCCGAATACTTTCGCAAGGCACTGTATACAATGAGGTGAGCTGTA